GTGTAGAGAACAAAGTGGGGCTGTCAATTTGGGGTGAAGTCGCCGGAGCTAGCCACAAACCTCGCCGGAAGTCTCGCCGGAAAATTCTCAAAACCTTCGATAAGCTTCGAGGTAAGCCCGTTGATATATCTAGTGACTAGAATGTTCGTATAGATCGTTTCTACGTTCATAAACGCTCATTTGGTTGAGTTTTGTGTTTGACATGCTTGAAGAACCAAGAATCATAAACCATGAATTTGATGTTTAAACTATGAATTAATGATACCAAAATGACCTATGAACCTTGGAGAACATCCCTATATAGTTTCGTTGAAGTTCAGTGTCTGAAAATGGGTTTTCCGAAAAATGGACCGAAGGTTGAAGAAGATGAACAGTAAGCTGAAACCCACTGTCTGGATCAATCCATGGGCTTGGATCGATCCCCTGGGAGTGATTTTTCATAGTTTGGATCGATCCAGAGGGCTGGATCGATCCCCCGAAGTCCTGATCCGAAAATTTGTCTGAAAATGCTATTTTTGAGCTCTAAAATCCTATTTTTAATACCAATTGATTATGATCATTATAAAAATGATTTACCAAAATAAAAATGATGTTTTTAACAACTAAAAATGATATGTGTTGCATGACGGTAAGTTCGGGTGTTAACACTCGAAGCTAGGCCGCTATTTGTTATCATTGGTTATGTTAATTGATGATTATGATAAATGAATATTATGGGTGATTATGAGTAATTAACCCACTGATTAAAATAAGTATTTATGATCGAATCATGAGTAAAATGAATACAGTTATAGTTATGAAATGATTTGTAGTGTTAAAGGTATCTAGAGGAACTCTAAGATATACACATTTAGAGAATTGATGTTAAGGCTATCTAGAAGACCTCTAGAATAGATCTCATATTAGTATGGAATTGTGAAACATGAATATTCGATGAATTAGATAAAAATGCATAAACAGGATTCGTAGACCAAGCTAGAGGATTACTCGTTTGGGAATGCCCGATCCAATGTTGACCAATTGCCATATTGTTGTTGTTGCCTTAACTGACTACAGTTAAGTGTCTGAATCATTTGCCTTAAACTAGTGATAGTTTAAGTGTCTGATTGCCTTAACTGACTATAGTTAAGTGTCCGAAATCGATTGCCTTAAACTAAGGATAGTTTAAGTGTCTGATAATTAATTGCCTTTTAAAGAGCATTGTTATGATCTAGCCTTAGACTAAGAATAGCTAAGAGCATTGTTATGATCTGGCCTTAGACTAAGAATAGCTAAGAGCATCGTTATAATCTGGCCTTAGACTAAGATTAGCTAAGAGCGTTGTTATTATTTGGCCTTAGATTAAGAATAATTTTAAGGGCACTGTCAGAATAATATTTGAATTGAATAAAATGTGTTGATATGAACTGAACATTATCAAAACTATGAATGTCTGAGATGAACATTGTGTGCATGATATCAAATGATTTGATTATGAATTTAGATTCAGTTTATATGGATGTTCGATGCATTAGATATGCTTACTCAGCTTTACCGCTGAGCGTGTAGTGTGTTTTATTTGCTACACGCAGATAAAATAGAAAGACCAATGTGATCCTGGCAGCAGATGGGGCGAGATTGTCGGGATGGATGTGATAAGTTTGAAATGATTTATGATATGTCAATATTAAATTCGCTTCCGCAATATTATTGAATACTCCGTACTGTATATGTTATGAAAAATATTATTGTGATAAATAAAGTTGTTTGAAAAGTTTTAAATTTTCACAATTACCAAGTTAAATACTTTAGTCTGAAAGGGGCTGCAGGCCTGGACGGATTAGTGTGTTACAAGGTCTGCCTTTGAAGATGGAATTTTGGCCTGACAGCACTGTTGCTGGGTCAACATCGCTGTCCAAAAACTTTCTGCCAATGCACTATATTTTTGGCTTAGGTTGGACAGCGCTGTAGGGAAGCCTACATCGCTGTTCCAGAAGTTTCTGGAAAACCAACCTTGGCTCAACAGCGATGTCTAAAGTCCAACATCGCTGTTGGAAGACTTAACGCCAAACCATGTTTTTGGCTACCCAGGCCAGACAGCGCTGTTGATTACCTCAACATCGCTGTTGGTCTTGGTTTAGCCAGACCCATGGTTGGTTTAGTCACGCCGTTAGCCGATGACAAAAACGCAAGTTCCCCAAAATAAAAACCATGTTTAGAAAACATTTGTTTATTTCATTTTGCTAAGAAATCAAGTAAAACACCTTGAAAACCACGTCATTTAGTTGCAAACCATGGCTAACCAAGATCGTGCCGTTTCGCATGGTTTTCACTAAACGACTAAAAACGGAGAGTGGTTTTTGAGGCGTTTTTGTTGGAGAACTATTTAAATATGCCCAGAAGTAAAAATCAGTCATAAAAAGTTGAAAACCACTTGGTTGGTTCGAATGCCAAAAACCAATGTCGAAAACCGATAGCCGAACGCCGGTTTCTGAAAGCCGAACGCCGGATGGCTTGGTTTTTGGTTTGTGCGAACTCCAAGTGTTTTGAGCCAAGTTTAATGCTTAAGAAAAGTATTTTTGAACATGTAAAAGGGATTTTTATGAATTAAGCCTAGAGAGCAAGGATTTGGAATTTTGTGCCGGTCTTGATCACATTAAGACCGACTCAATACAATTCTAGTTCTTCGTTCTTGATTCTGGGTTCTTGGTTCTCAAGTCATCATGCCATGTTCCTTCGCCTTAGTTTTGCTCACTTTAGCTTCGATATGTCGCGGCGGTTTGGCATTATCAAAACCTGTCATAAACGAACACAGTTTAGTACGACGAAGGCGTAAACCCGTGTTCCAACAA